GTACACACAAAACAGGTGGAGGAAGAGCAAATTATCGAGTAAGTCTTAAATTGCCTTAACAGACGATTGAAGAAAGAATTTTTAGATCAATTCTGGGCTTATAATCCAAAGTTGTATCATATGTTGATGTTGGGTATAATCACATATTTCAGTATGATGAGGCGAAATTGCAATTGTGTTTAATGCAGAATGATTTGAGTAAGGACTCGGAATTCTTATAATATCTGTTGCCAACTCAGCATTTGTCAGGTTCGAAACCGAGAATATTGCACATCACACGTGTTTCATGCTCAAATCGTCATGTATATCATTAAATAGTTTATTTCATTTCATATATTCCCGGATAATTGCACATTATTACAAGCTTAATCCTAAGTACAAAAAGAGATTCTGGAAAGAATTAGAGTGCTTCTCACTTGACGAGAAATTTAACTGCAAATCCAAAGAAGTTAACAAATAAAAGTTATTTTATGCTTAGGCCTATATTTTTGCACTTAGAGATAGGGACCTGGAATTTGACAGGAAGACTAACATAACCTTTCTCAACCCATTTAGACTAGAAGCCAAAATACTGACTGACATTCAGCCAATCCAGGTTGGATGGATGATGAACGACCGGGAGCTGACTCAATCGGAGAGAATTGAGATGTCCTTTATGCAGGACACCGGAGTGGCACGGCTCGTGATCCGGGAGCCCAGTCAACCAGACTCTGGTGAATACACCTGCGTGGCTACTGGAGAGGTGATTGAGCCGCATACCAGAAGGCGGGTCTCCAAGACGATCATGTCTAGCTCCTCCATCGTCATTGAAGGTGAGTAAAGTTTCATGGTTTTTTTCTCATTCTTTATTTGATTCTCAGATTACTAATTTCATGGCTCTATCTATTCTTGATGATTAGATTATATATATGAGATGATTTCAGCCTATTTCATTTACGTTTATAAGGAGACTTGTAGTTAAACTTTCCCACAACGATATGATTTTCCCGAAATCCTACTTATAAGAGAAAAATAAGTAGCGTAGTCGATTGCTTTAGTGAACACTAATTTGCTTCAGCGACAATCCCACCACGGAATGTGGTATGAGAAATGCTTGACCTTCCTTGAACTTCACGTCTGCCCTGTGACCCAAAGATACCTGTGACAACGTGGCTTAGTATTTAACCTGTCGATATTACACGCTGCAGTGTCATGGTTCGGGTCCCGTTGGGGTTTCTGCTAAGACCAAGGCGAGGTAGAAACGGAAGTCCACCCTGGAAAGAATACAATTTAGGAAGGCAAGGCAATGTGAAAATCATTGGAAACCTAAGATCCACTCATATCATAGTGATAAAATTGAACTACTAGACCCCCTATAACCTCAAACGAAAAAGAATGATGACATCTAATATATTGTATTAAATTGTTTGATGGTGAATCATATACTTTGCTTATTGTCAATTCTTTCTTCCTTCTATCCGGACTAGTTGAATAAACAGCTAAATCAATTTTTGTGTTCATATAAATGTCAGCATTCGAATTGCGATGTTGAACAATTATATTACAATACAGCCATATGATTTTTACGACAACATAATTTAATCTTAATACGGTTCCTACGACATACCCATTCTTAAATTGATTGCTAATTTTTTTACCATTTGTTCTATAGCTACACCTGCCTACAAGGCAGGTCTTATATTCGTCAGGCCAGTTGAGGTGAACTTGAAGAAGGCTAATGAGGAGCAGATCGTCGAGTAAGTTCCTCTGCTTTAAGGCTAAACTGGAATGCATTTGGAAATGGTATTTGTTTCAAGCGTCTAATCATATATGCTGTCCATGTCTACTCTTTTCCAGATTAGAGGCCCAGATTCTTGCTGATGTTCAGCCAATTAAAGTGACTTGGATGGTAGGTGATCGGGAATTGGTGCAGTCAGATCGTGTCGAGATGACATTCTTTGAGGATACAGGAGT